GCCGCGTCGCGTCGCGTCGCTCTCGCAACCGAGAAACTTCCGATGGAAAATTTATTCGAAACGTTGAGCGAAACTTCCAACCGTCGCGTTATGACGGTCCCTCGTCAGAGACGAGCGTTTTGTAAAATCGAGAGACAAACGAGATTTCCGATAACGCCAAGCCACTTTCCTCTCCGTTGGACAGTTGGAAACTGTCAATTACTCCGAATAATTGAAACACGTATGTAAGTAATAACTCCGGACGAGTCGCGAAATTTTACCTCCGGTTCCTCTGTGTTACGTATCGCGGCTTCGAAACTTTTAATCTTGTTTCGTCCGGAATACGCAAACGTCACACGTCTGTAAATCGTACGGCACGATAGCAACGGAGGCTACTTTTAAGCTGAAGTCTTAAAATCTCGCCACTCTGATAAACATCGTATTCGGCTATCCAACGATCGAGAGACGCGTCAAAGTTGGACGAGTCGCGATAGGATCGCGCGTGGTAGCGTTACGTCCGCCAGCCGCTCTACTTAACGCGCGTTACGTGCCTCGCACGTAGACGTTGTCACCCAGCTATAATATAGCGATAGAAAAACCAACGGGGTCTAACGAACATCCGAAACGACAACGCAGAGAGTGTTCCAGTGTAAAAAAACAGTAGCAGCACGACCATCTCTGATCTGGGTCCCGGCGACACCCTCTCCATAGCAGCCAGACCCGTAGTATTAGGTCGTCCGAAAAGTTTCTTTCGTTTACGAGGAAATAATAGACGCGCAACGTTCTTTGTTTTATATTATTTCGTCGAATCAGGCACGATCCATTCTGTTCCGTCGAGATAAACTCCACGACTTTTCGCAGACTTGGTTTCACGTTTCTACCAAGGTGCACTGTTGCAAAAAACACGTTTGCGAAAGAAAGATATCTTTCGGACAACCCGATATATAAAATCAGCTCTCGATATTCTCTGTTCTAACACTCTGAACCGTCGCTCTGTCGGATTCGTACGATAAATTTCACTGCTATACTCGAACTTTAATTCTTCACCTTATTTGTGAAACGTTCGAACTGCGTTCGACGTTCCACGCATCGAGCATTCGCGAAGCCGGTCGTCGCTTCTCGTTCGTCCAACCGTCCACGCGAATGTAGCGAGTCGCGTCGTAAAACTTTACACTAGAAAACAAGGTAGAATACGCCGTTGACGGTAAAGGTTTGCTCGAACGGAGAAGATAGCATCGACGCCTTGCCAGTTCGCCGTGCTGACAATGAGCACCGACGAGATCAGATAACTGACGGCCTCGTTGCGATATAATTTCCCTGTTCGCCAGGACACTCGGCGTCGTCTACGAAAGAAGACAAATTCTACGCGATTTCTTATTACGCGAGAACGCATTCTTTCTTCGTTTCATCGGCTAAATTCGCAACAGCGCGTCTATTTCCGTTTAATCCCCCCGATTTGAGTGGAAAGTGTTCGCGAAACTCGAAACGAATCTGAAAGTTGTATTTGCTTTATCAGAAGTTGGAATATATTTATAGCAAGAAATCAGAAAAAAGACTATCGCCACTGATTTCTATATTCAGCCAATGTTCTCGATAACTCTCAATCCTTTTATACGTTTTCACATTGCTTCCAAGTTTGTTCAATATCTATTTTAATCGCGAGACCGTAGTAAACCTTGCGACAAAAGTTTCTATACAACTGGCTTATTTTTATTCAACCTTTGATAATATCGTCTTGAATCGCGTGAACTGTTCTCGCTTCTAACCGTTAGAACGCGTTATTATACGAAAAATAAATAAGAAATTGGCGCTATCCGTTTCTATTACCCTCGATACGTTTAGACGATATATTCGTAAAACGTTTTCACGAGTGTTCGAATATTTTCGCGATCCGGCATCGTCATTCATCGCGACGCCACCGAACGAAACGCAACGACGCGTTTTCCTGTAGATCGCGGTACAAAAATTCAATACGCTCGATTAGAAAAATTACGTGGCAGTGGCGCGGACTTAGACAAAAGGGATAATTACTTGGACTCGACAAAGTCTGCGCGCCAGCTACAACGATTATCGATTGTTCCGCCAGCTCGCCATGTAATTTTAACCGCATTTACCGATGTTACGTTGTTACATTATTGCAACATAACATGCTTCGAGTAATCGCATTAGCCGAATGCGGCTTTAATACGAGTTCGCAGGTATTTATCGCGGTGATGCGTTCGATAACGAAGCGCGTATGGCCAACGGTACCGCCGGATGCCTAAATATTCGAACGGGCTCATTATGCGGCTGAGACTCCATTTACCAAAACCAACTTTGGCCAAGGATCGCGTTGCGAGCACGCGCCAGCACCGCGTAAACGTCGGCGCGTATTTTTCAGCCGCCCGGCCGAAT